AGTTGTAGCTCCTTCCCCCTACATCACACTTTTACGCACAGCTCTTGTCTCCCCACTCCCATCTCACACATTCACCCACCGTTGTAGCTCCTTTTCCCCTATAACACACTTTTACCCACAGCTCTTGTCTCCCCACTCCCATCTCACACATTCACCCACCGTTGTAGCTCCTTTTCCCCTATAACACACTTTTACCCACAGCTCTTGTCTCCCCACTCCCATCTCACACATTCACCCACCGTTGTAGCTCCTTTTCCCCTATAACACACTTTTACCCACAGCTCTTGTCTCCCCACTCCCATCTCACACATTCACCCACCGTTGTAGCTCCTTTTCCCCTATAACACACTTTTACCCACAGCTCTTGTCTCCCCACTCCCATCTCACACCTTCACCCACAGCTGTAGCTCCTTCCCCCTATATCACACTTTTACGCACAGCTCTTGTCCACCCACTCCCATCTCACACCTTCACCCACAGTTGTAGCTCCTTTTCTCTATATCACACCTTCACTCACAGCTCTAAGTTCACCCTCCGTCTTACTTTACTCACAGCTGTAGCATCTTCCCCTATATCTCTTCATTTGTCAAAATGTTCACCTTCCCTTCTCCAAAGCATCACCACTCCTACTGCCTCGTAGCACGTGTGTAGCGGCTACGACTGCAAAGAGAACACAGAATAGATCTTATTAACCCGGACCCGGTTCCACAGTCGTGGATTAACTCTTAACTCCGAGTTAAATTCCTTAACTCTGAGTTAAAAGTTAACTCAGAGTTAAATTCCGTTCCACAGTCGTGGATTAACTTTAACTCTGAGTTAAAAGTTAACTCAGAGTTAAATTCCGTTCCACAGTCGTGGATTAACTTTAACTCTGAGTTAAATATGCCTAACTATGAGTTAAAATTTAACTCTGAGTTACTTAACTCAGGATTTAATCCATGTTTATGAAACCCAAATTTCACTCGGAGTTTACTAACTCAGAGTTAGTGAGTTTAACTTAGAGTTCACCTTAACTCAGGGTTAAAGTTAATCCACGACTGTGGAACCGGGTCCAGCATGTTTTGTGCTCACAGCTACGTGTGGGAGCGTTTCGACGTTGTCTGTCAAGGTTTTCACCTCCCTTTCTCCACAGCATTACCAATTCTGCTACCCAGTGACAGTTTCTGCGGCATAGAGAACAGACAATATCTTACTGACCAACATGTTTTGTGCTTACTGAGTATTAGTGATGTCACGATCATCGATTATACTCGATCATCAGTTGAACAGTGGCTCGAACCAAGCGCTTGGTTATCAAAATCCATAATCAATTTCATCGAAAAAAAATAAAAATAAATAAATCGAAATAAATGTAAAACTTGAACAAGAAAACTTGGAAAAGTGATGAGAATCAGAAATATCATCGCTACTATACAAGTTATCCTTTATTAACATACATGTATTATACACATAGTAGAAAACAGTGCAAAACAAACAGTAAACAGGGCTAAACATACATGCACACACGTACATGTACACGACGTTACGCACACGCAGGCATTCAACACCCCGAGTAACCGATTGTAACCGATCATCGGTTACTCGGGTCCAACCGATGATCGATTACGAAATTACAACCGATTGACAACACTACTGAGTATCTTACTGACTAGAGAACAGTAGAGTGGCGTCTCAACAATAGTATATCTTACTAACTATCATGTTTTGTGTTTACAGCTACGTGTGGGAGCGTCTGGAGGTCGGCTACGTGCAGGGAATGTGCGACCTGGTGGCGCCACTGCTCGTCATCTTCGACGACGAGGCGAAGACGTTCAGTTGTTTCTGCGAGCTGATGCGTCGCATGTCGGCTAACTTCCCACACGGCGGCGCCATGGATGCGCACTTCGCCAACATGCGCTCACTCATCCAGGTACGGACGGATGATGGTGGTGGTACTGATGCTGCTGGTGGTGGTGCTGGGGGTGGTGGTGGTGGTGGCTGGGGGTCTGGTGCGGGTGTGTGGTGGTAACTGATGCTGTTTTGGTGGCGGTGCTGGGGTGGTGGTGGTGTACTGATGCTGCTGGTGGTGTGCTGGGGTGGTGTGGTGTACTGATCTGCTGTGAGGAGTGTGGCTGGGGTTGGTGGTGGTGTATGATCTGCTGTCGGTGGTTGGTCTGGTGGTGCTGGCTGCTGCTGACTGCGCTCATGGCGCTGCTGAATGATGATTATGATGAATGATGCTACTGCTGCTTTTGTTGCTGCTGCTCGTTTTCTCGTTACAAATTATGGTAAATCTCTTCAGCTCCAATTAAGCTAGTGTGTGGTATTTCCCAGCAGAGAGTGAGATCCGTATTTGTGAACAGAACGACTGTTATTTAAAAAGTGCACCACTATATGCCGGATGATTACATTGGGTTGTTGTGTTACAAACAGGACAGGTGTTTCGAATTGTCATTTATGAAGTAGTTGCCTCAAAAACTGAATTAGTCCCTAGGTCTAGTCTAATTGCTCACCGTGATGTCATATATAAGTATGTATAAATGTATCAAAGTTTCATGTTGAAATTTTTGTTACTTACACCACCAACTTACCTCGAAAAAATGTGAATGTGACAACGTGATATCCCAATATTTAAATTTCAACGCAGAAACTCAGTTAGCAGTTTATTGTCTATGATTTATTGTATTAAACCATATTTAATGGGGCATTTTTCTAGATTCGTGACTCTGAAATGGTTGAATCTGATGCACCGAAAATGGAGACTATCACGCCATCTTTTACTTCTGGTCTATCGGTGGTTTTATCTGGAACTCAAGAGAGGTATGGTTCCATGTACGCACACACATAGGTCCAATGCACCACTCACGGTCACGCACACACACCACAAGCCTGCATACCACCAGTGCCAGTGCACACACTCACACATATGACACATACAGGCACATTACTCACGAACGGGAGCTTTTGCAATTTTACATTAAAATTGGAAGGCGATCTGGTGGCACTATCCCGAAAGGTGAAATTATCTGCAAATTTTTCAAAATGAAAAAAAAAAGAAAAACAGAAAAAAAACAACCTATTCCAGTAAAAATGTCTTCGACATGGAAAGGTAATTTTTGGCATAAAATATTCGAATAGATAGGATGAAGAATGGTAAACGAATATGGCTAAGAGACAGAGTACATGAAACGACTTTCAGATAAAAAACTTGCCAATCTTCACACGTGTGTCACTTTGTTGTTGTTGGGAGGGGTGGCACACATGATAGAAAAAAAAATTGTTGGTAAGGGCAACGAGGGTGCGAAGCCACAATCAGTACAGGGTGAATTTATTGTGGGATAACCTTCATACCCATGGATAAAAAAAGAGCATCTTAATTTTTCATTTGAGTTCTAGAACCCCCCCCCCCCCGCCCCAAAATATATATCTTCAACTCCTCCTTTCTTTTGCTGTCCTCTCCAGGCAGTTTGGGAGCTGCTCAAATTACCGCATTGAAAAAAAACAAGTTCCGCATATGAACATTGGTCACCAGCTTGTAACCAACGAGGCTGATTGGCGGAACAAAGACCATCCAGCTCTTTTTTTTCATCGGCCCCTCCTCTCTGAAGCAGTGGTGATAGTGAACAAATGGCACAGCATGTGCGCATGTTTGATGGGCACGGCGCAACCCCCCCCCCCCCGGGGGGGGGGTTGGCGAAACCCAACCCTGGGCTACGTGCCTGCATACACTATGCACGCACGTCACACATACACCACGTCGATATTTGTGCACAGCATATCACCATGCTCGTACACAGGAAAAAATCCACACGGAGACG